TTTAAGAGTTCTCTTTATATTTTGAGTAACTGTCTTTAATCAGATATATATTTTTGCAAGTATTTTCTCCCAGGCTGAGGTTTGTCCTCTTATTATTTTGACAAGGTCTTGCAGAGCAGAAGTTTTTAATTTTAATGAAGTCCAGTTTATCAGTCATTTCTTTCATGGATCATGCCTTTGGCATTGTATCTAAAAAGTCATTGCCATACTCAAGGTCATCTAGGTTCTCCCATGTTGTCTTCTAGGGATTTTATAGTTTTGCATTTTACATTTTGATCTGTGATCCATTTTGAGGTGATTTTATGAAGGGTGTAAAATCTGTGTCTAGATTCATTTTTTTCCACGTGGATGTCCAGCACCAATTGTTGGAAAGACCATCTTTGCTCCTTTGTCAAAGATCAGTTGACTGTATATAATTATGTGGGCTCTCTTTTCTGTTCCACTAATCTGTCTATTCTTTTGCCAAAATGACACTGTCTTGATTATTGTAGCCTTATAATAAATGTTGAAGTTGGGTGGTGTAAGTCCTCTGACTTTGTTCTTTTCCTTCAATATTATGCTGGCTATTCTGGGTCTTTTGCCTCTCCATACAAACTTCAGAATTAGTTTTTTGGTATTCACAACATAACTTACCGGGATTTTGATTGGGATTGCGTTGAATATGCAGATCAAGTTGGGAGGACTGAGATCTTGACAATATGGTCTTCCTATCCGTGGACATGGAATATCTCTCCTTTTAGTTAGTTCTTTGATTTCATTCAACAATTTTGAAGTTTTCCTCATATACATATTATATGTATTTTGTTAGATTTATACCTAAGTATTTTATTTGGGTGCTAATATAAATGGTATTGTGTTTTCAATTTCAAATTCCATTTGTTCATTGCTGGCATATATGAAAGTGATTGACTTTTATATATTAACATTGTTTACTGTAACCTTGCTGTAATCACTTGTTAATTCCAGGTTTTTTGGTTGATTCTTTGTATTTTCTACATAGATTATCCTGTTGTCTGTGAACAAAGGCATTTTTATTTCTTCCTTCTCAATTAGTATAACTTTTACTTCCTTTTCTTGTATTACTGCATTAGTTAGGACTTCCAGTATGATGTTGAAAAAGAGTAGTGAGAGGGAACATCTTTATTTTTGATCCTAGTGGGGAAGCTTCTAGTTTCTCACCATTAAGTATGGTATAAGCTTCAAGTTTTTGTAAATGATCTATCAAGTTGAAGCTCTCATCTATTCCTAGTTCAGTGAGAGTTTCTGTAATGAATGAGTGTTGGGTTTTGTCAAATGCTTTTTCTGCATCTATTGATATGACCATGTAATTTTTCTTTAACCTGTTAATGTGGTGGATTACATTAACTGATTTTTGAATGTTGAACCAGCCTTGCATACCTGGGATAAATTTCACTTGGTTGTGGTGTATAAGTCTTTCTATACTTATTGGATTCAATTTGCTAATATTTTGCTTAGCGTTTTTACATCCATGTTCATGAGAGATATTGGTCTATAGTTTTCTTTTCTTGTAATGTCTTGGTCTAGTTTTGGTATTAGGGTATTAGGGTAGTGATATCCCCATAGAATGAATTAGAAAGTATTCCCTCAGCTTCTATCTTCTGAAAGAGATTGATAGAGAAATAGAGATTTTGTAGAGAAATGGTATAATTTCTTCCTTAAATGTTTGATAGAATTTACCAGTGAACCATCTGGGCCTGGCACTTCCCATTTTGGAAGGTTATTATTTATTGATTCAATTTTTAAAATAGATATAGGCTTATTGAGATTGTCTATTTCTAATTTTTTATATCATAAAATTATCATAATGAACAAGGACAAAATCAAAACAGTTTTGGACAAACAAAAATTGAAAGCATTAACCCCCAACAAACCCTACTATAGGAAGGAAAATAACCCTACAAGGAAAGTCTGAGACGTAAGAAGGACTGGTGACAGAGAGAAAAACAGCAAACATGGGGGAAATCTAAATAAACACTGATTATGAAAAGAAAATGTCTAACTTGGATAATAAATAAACTAGGTCTGAAATATTGAATAAAATAGCATTTAAGATGGCAAGCTGGTGAATACTATTAAGTGTTTTAAGGATAGAGGTATTGATTATCTTCAGACTAAGCATTCATGTTAAGAGTAGTGATAGCCTACTCAATGGATAGAAATAGAGTGCATAACTTTGAAAACTTCAGAGGGAAAATGAAATTAAAAAGTCCTAGTCAATCCAAAAGAAGGACGGAACAGATAAAAGAGAATGGAGAAGATGTTGAAAAGTGAGGTAGGACTAGATCATGCAAGGTGTTTTATGCTATATTAGCCAGAGTTCTCAAGATAAACAGAACCAAGGGATATATATATAGAGAGAGAGAAAGATTTACATTTATTCCAAGGAATTGGTTCGATGATTATGGAGGTTGGGAAGTCTAAAATCTGCAGTGTCAGCTGACAGGCTTCAGACCCAGAAGAGTTGATAGTGCAAATGAAGTCTGAAGGCAGTCTGCTGGAAAATTGCCTTTACTCAAGGAGGTTGCACTGTTTGTTCTATTCAGGCCTTCAACTAATTAGATAAAGCCCACCCACATTACGGAGGTCAGTTTTAGTCTCAGTCCACTGATTTACATTTGAATCTCATCCAAATATAGCCTTCAAGTTGACATATAAAATTAATCACACATCTGACAGGAGTAAAGTGTTTGGATTTTATTTTAACTGAAGTAGGAAGCCATTGGAAGATTTTAAAAAGAGAATGATGAAATCCGATTTATATATTTAAAGACTGCTCCAGGTGCTAGATGGAAAGTTGATCCTAGAGGAACATGAACAGAAGCATGGAAAGTAGGTGAGAGGAGTACAAAACATGAAAAGAGCCCAGACTCATGGTATATTTTGGAGGTAATCTTTGACAGGACTTGCTGAGAGACTAGATGTGGGGAGTGAAGGAAAGAATGCAATCCAGGTTCATCCCTAGGTTTGGGACCAAATCAACTGAGTGTACAGCATTACCATGAACTAATCTGGGAGAAAACTGGAGAAAGAGAAACTGGGTGAATAACAAGTATGGGGTGGGAATATTAAATTTGAGATGTCAACTAGATAACCAAGTAAAGATATACAGTAAGCACATGTAGACAAGAGCCTGAAGTTCAGAGATGAGAACAGAATTTGGGATATTAATACTGGAATTATCAGAGTATAGATTATAAATTCTTATAAGATCACTTACAGGTGAATACTGATACAGAAGAGGCTATCCAGATTTTTTTCTCTTTCCCCTCCAAATTCAATCTCCACTCTTCTTCCCCATCTTTTAGCCCTGGAAGCTGCAAAGACTTCAACAAAGCCCAGTACCTACTGGCTTCTGGGTGAATTGGGTCAATGGAGAACCCAGCAGGAGTTTGAAGGAAAGAGAGGGTCACAAGCATCTAGCAACTAGAGGTTGGTAGAAGTCCTTGGACATTATGAAGGGAATCAAAAACACCCTTGCAGGCTATGATGGTTGACTGATAACTGTAGCAGGCAGAAACTATAGTCCAAAGCTCATGACTTAAATGTATCTGAGGGGAACAGAAGAGTAATTGACATTGTTCTGTGCCAATAGGGCATCTTTATAGGGTCAATACCTCCACTTTATAGAGATTTTACAAGACTAATTCAGTAGTGCTCCAGTTTCTAGGTCCTGTATCTCCTGCATTTTGTAGGGGTGTTGTGTATCTGTTTACATTTTTATTTCTTACCCTAGACTGAGAGAGGTCCTTGTAAATATATACATGCTTGTATAAACTGAGCAGTCTTCACCATTCCTGGCTCACATTTGGTAAATATACATGTTTGTTAACTCCTGGAATGTCTTTCACCCTCTGGTTAGAATCTCAATTCTTATTTTTTCTTTTGTTTAAATATATTTTGTTATGAAAATATATTATACAAAAATATATAGGACAGCCTTCTAGTTTTTAATTAACATTGTTGAAATTATAGGGTCAAAGACAACATGGATGAACCTGAAGGACATTATGCTAAGTGAAATAAGCCAGACAGACAGAGAAAGACAAATACTGCATGGCATCATATATGTGTGGAATCTAAAAAACCAAAAAGGTCAAGCTCATTAGAAGCAGAGAGTAACTAGAATGGCGGTTGCCAAGGGCTGGGCAGTAGGAGAAATGGGAGATATTGGCCAAAAGGTACAAACTTTCAATTATAACATGAATAAATTCTGAAGACCTAGTGTACAATATGGTGGCTATAGTTGATAATACTGTACTGTATACTTAAATTTTGCTAACAGAGTGGCTCTTAAGGGTTCTCACTACACACACATAGAGACACACACAAAGTAACTATGTGAGGCAATGGATGGGTTAATTAACTTGATTGTGGGACATATTTCACAAGGCATACCTGTATCAAAATCACCATGTTGTACACTTTAAATATAGGTAATTTTGTCAATTATACCTCATTAAGCTGGAAAAAAAACCCTAAATCACTCATTTTGGAGATTAAACAACAAACGTTCAGAGAAACTGAGATTTACCCAAGATCACACATATAGTAGTTGTATTTTTTATTTTTTGAAGAGCCAGTCTTGCTATTTCATATTCTACATTTCTTATACTGCTGTTGAAAAATTGATAATATTTTAAAAATCTCATTCAAATGCAATTTAGTGAGTTTTCCTCTAACATATATACTTCTGGATAATGTCATATGACAAGACTCCAGATTTCATCCTTCTCAAAACTCCAGGTGATTTCTAATTACAAAATAATGTATAAAGCTTGCTTCTTGAATATTTAAGAAAAAGAAAAGAGGCAGCCATTTAGTTATCTCAATGCATTTATTTTGTTGGGAAAATGATAAAGTGTCTCAGGTTCATGAAGTTTACAAACAACTCCTTATGTTGAAAGTGTAACCAATGTTTCTATTTTATTTATATCAATGTTAATTTTGTTTCTTGAAGCTTTCTAACATTTACTGAGTAATTTTCTTTAACAGAGGCTAAAAATGTTAAAAAGGAAATTGAACAATAGATTAAGTAAAATAAGTTACCTAAATATTCTAAATGGAATAACTATGTCGTTAAAGCATGAATGTATGAATGCAAATCATGAATGCAAAGAGCAATACATTTTTAAATTATGTCAAGCCGTAGGCTTCCAGGAGAGCACCCTTTCTGGGCCGGTAGAGCTTTGAGTCCATTTGACGGCTGGCAGCCACGGTGTATCACTCAGAAGGGAAAAAGTACAGCAGACAGGGCCAGATTTTCAACCTATTTCCTTCTATCCCTTTCAGATAACTCTTGACGTCCTGGTTGCAGTTGCCCAAGCAAACTAGCCATTAACTGGGTCTGTATTTCTAAGAGAGAGAAAGGTCTGTAATTTATGATCAAAGTCAATGGCTCTAAACTGAGGTTCCTTGTATTTTCTGGTCATCTTGGCACCCAGGTATGTGATGAGTTCACAACTCTCCATAAATTGCTGCAACTTCTTCTTATACTTCCTTCTGGTATATTCAGAACTTTTGGGATTGAAGGCTGTAGAAAATGTCACAGAACTGAATGTTTTCTGTTAGGTTAGTGAATCATTAAATTAAAAAGAAAGAGAACTATGTGTGTGAAAGAGTTGCACAGCTATAACTGAGAAGATATCCAAATCCCAAGTAAGATTTGGGGATTATTCCATTTTAGATCATAACTGCCTCTATTCACCTTTCCCTACGGCATGGATTATTGAGAGCCGATCGTAATTCGTGGTCCTTGCTTTACTAGAACCTCAAATTGGTTATTTTCATTAAAATATTTGCAGTGCTACCAATGCAAGCAGCCGACTCAGCTCAACAATCCTATACATTCATCACGTACACTACAAATGATGTTAAATTAGTTCTGAGTAGCATATCATTAAAGAAGACATACCTTTTAGGTGAAATGCTATATACAGTAGTGCAGATCTCTTTATACTTAAAAACGGGAATTTGGGCTTTAAGCATCCTGCTGCATTCATTGCTTTAATTAGTGAAGTTGCGATACCCTGCAGCGGGGACAATGTAGAGCACATGTATATTTGAATTTGGCTTCTTTTCTCAGTGGCAAATAGATAAAGAGGCTATTCTTTGGTGTTGGGGATGGGGCCTATAGGTGGTTAAATGACCACTTAATGAACATGGAAAGGAACACAAAGTACTTTTGATTAGGAAGATTGAAAATTACAAATTGGCTGAACGTCAGGTGGCTGATAGATACATGGGCCTCATTACACAATCCTTTCTATTTTTATGTTTGACATTTTCCATAAAATATTAAAGACAAAAGAAGGGGTCCCTGGGCTTTGAGTTGTCTTGGCCCATTTTCTACTTCCATTGCCAGAACTGGCCAGACTGCCTCTGCTGTCAGGACCCTTGACCACCTGGCAAGGAATTCCAGAGACCACAGTTGTCAGTCACCGCAGCAAAGATTCTGGAACCCTGTGTGGGCAAAGAAGAGGTGAGGCCCTCCTGATGAAACGTGGCCTTTATGAGACTACTCCTCTCTGGGTGAGCCTCATCTTACCTTTTGATATTAAACCAGACTGAAGGCTCACCATCTAGGCAAGTTGAATAAAATGAAGTGGTTAAGAATTTCTTTTTTTTTTTTTTAAAGATTTTATTTATTTGACAGAGCACAAGCAGAGGGAGAGAGAGGGAGAAGCAGGTTCCCTACTGAGCAAGGAGCCCAATATGGGACTCGATCCCAGGACCCTGGGATCATGACCTGGGCCGAAGGCAGCCGCTTAACCGACTGAGCCACCCAGGCGTCCCTAAGTGGTTAAGAATTTCTGAGAAAGGTATGAAATTGTGCCCTAGGCATTAATTTTATAGAAAAATTTAAAAGAGCTTTTAAAATAGTGGTTGATTACTGGTAAGTTTTATTTTGTTTAAAAAGAGTTATATTTAGATGATAAGATGTGACTTGAGTAGCGTTTGGGGGCATTTGCCCCTAGATTTGGGGAAAATATGACTTCGCCAGTTCAGTTGTGGTGGTATTGCAACTGGACACTTTTGAGCAGTGAATAAACCTCTCGGAGACTGAATCCGCACCTTTCAAATTTAAAAAGTTTTACAGACCCTGACATTCAAAATAAGAAATCTAACCACAAGTCAAATGTAAACAATTTCACGACAATCTGCTCTCTCTTCACTTTATTGCAGATATTTGGAAATTAGCTAGAGAAGCAGGGGTTCTTCTCACTTCTTATTTTCCCAGCCATCCAAAACCAAAACAGGTTCAGAGTGGATTTGCAGCTTAAAATCAGAAAACTCTGCCTTGAATTTCAGTGTTACCAAAATAAAAATTATTGTTAAAAAAGAGATCGTTGTACTCTACTAATGTATGTACACAGACAATCATGTAACTGAACCTGTTCCAGATATCCAGGCAAAGGAAGACTCGTGAGATGGATGGGCTCCTTCAACGGGGGCAGTTTGTACGGAAGCTTCTGGCTCCAGTATTTCTCTGGCAACCTGAGAACGTAAAGATCATCGGATGGATGCTCACAAATACACTCACTGTGAATACACAGGAACGTGGATGCGTAAGAGACAACTAAGAGATAAAGTTCACCAGGCTGATTTTCTCCACTGGAGAGAACGTGACAAGTGAGAAGATGGGGACTGCTGGAGATCTGTGACCTGCAACTTTGCCTGGCCCCCAGTGCTGCTCACTTTGCTCACTTTTCTTGTTTTCCACAGCAACGATAGCAAACTTTGCTCTCATCCTCCTGACTCCCAAGGAACCCTCGACACGGATGCTGTGTTATATAGACAGAAGCCGTTCCAAGGGCACTTCCTCAACCGCTCACGGCAAGCAGAGCTGCACACACTTCCTCTTTCCGTGGGGAGCTTACCTCCTTGTCAGAGCGGCCTCCGCCCTCTCCGCCCGCTCCTCAGACTTTAGATACCCCTCTCCCACCAGTCTCTCTAGAGTGATTTCTCTCTCTCCACTTTGGCATTTCCTTCCTTATTGGATCATCCCCATTCATCTGCATTTAAATGTGCTCCTATCTTCCTCATTGAAAAAAAAAAAGGAAAAAGAAAAACAACCTTCACTCCTTCCATCCTAAATCATTTATAGCAACTGGTGTCTTTTCTTTTTAAACTTCTTCAAACCGTGAGCTTTAGTAGAGGTCACAAACTACCGCACAAATACCATCCGATCTGATCCACACAGTATTTTTAGAAATTTAAATCAGTCATGAACATTAAAAAAACAAAAACAAAAACAGAACAATTTGGTTTAAAAAGAAAAGAAATCTGGTTTCCAGCTTGTTGTGAAACAGAAACGTCTGGCAGTAGATAAGTAGTCGCGGCTCTCCTTACCTGGGGCCTGCCTGTTGGCCGGTCCGCAGCAGACTCCACCGTGCCCTGCGCTCTCACACCCAGCCTGCTTCCCACAGGTGCTTCTCCCCCTCGGCTGCTGTAGGTAACCTCTGTGTGTGTCACCTCTGGTGTCTTCATTTCCTCACCTCGCATCCAGAGTGTGGCATGCTGTAGTTACCTTCCACGCCCCCCACTCTACTGAAACCATTCTTGCCAGGATCACTGATGACCCGTTATAACCGAAATCTGACACACTTTTTAGCTCTTCTCTTGCTTGACCTCTAAACTGCATTTAAACTTGTTGGCCAACCCCCCACCCCCACCCAGCTCCCGGACACTTTCTCTCTTCCCTCCTCCCCAGAGCCTCCTCGACCTGGCTCTCCTTCACTTCTCTGTAGGTTCTTCTTTATCATTCTCCTTGCAAGCTCTTTTCCCCACATTTGTGTGTTGGTGTTTCTCAGGGTGTGGTCCTAAGCCCACTGCTTTTCTCACACCAGTCTTCATGGGTGACCTCAAACATGCTGTATTATTTTGGACAAGATCATTCTAACAGCCTTAGCACTGGTATTCCTGCCTCCAATCCATTGTCAACACTCCAGTGATGGTCTCTCTCCGAAGCGAATTTGAATATAATATGCAAAACCAGTTAATATATTCATACTGCCTTTTGGGTCAAGGTCAAATAATTTAGGGTGATTTTATCTGAACTTCACCCTCCGGCCCTGCTCACCATCTCCAGCCTCACCTCTCAATCCTTCCCTTTTCTCTTCATCATGTCCAGCCATGCTGACTTTCTTGCAGTTCTGTGATTCCCTTGGGCCAGGTTTGTTTGTAGGTCTCTCTGCTTGGAACTTGTCCCTCTTTCCCTTCATCTACCCAACTCCCACTCCTCATTCAGGCCTTACCCCAACAGACAACTCAGCCAGACTTTGGGGCTACACATTACCAGAACTCCTGGCTTTTCCCCACCCTAAGTGCCATCACATTCTGTTGTTAACAGGTATGTAAAGTCTAACGTACCTCAGAGCCTCAGGCTTTGGGACAGCATGAACAAGTTCTTAGTCATCATCATACATGTATGTATATATGTGTATATGCATGTATGTATGCATAAGTATGTCTATACACACAAATATATTTATGCATGTACACACACACACCAGCATGTTGCAATGAACATAGAAGATATTCAATATTGGTAACTTAGTGAATGGTCTCACCTCAAAAATTTCTCGAGTTTTTCTCTAGTCTCACAAATATATATACGATCACGATATTCTAAAGCAAATTTAATGTTACCAGGTACAAGGGCCTCATATCTGAAAGACAAGAAAAAAAAGATTGTATAATTAATATGCAGTACTGTATAAATAAAATGTCAAAAATGTTTCCTTTTCTACCTATGCAACTCAAGGAAGAGATAAAACATTTTCCAGTTAAATAATAGTGACCTTTTAACCCAAATGTTAAGATTGTTATAGGAACTGCCTATTCTGAGTAGAGATATCACCCTAACCTCCCCCGAGGGTGAGGACCTGCCTGTGGTTTCCATCCTGATAGGTCACTGGACAGTAGCCCTGCAGCTCCGCGCACTTGGGGAATCGGCTCTTCAGCTCTGACAGTGTCAGCCTTTTGGGGATCATGTCGGCAGGTGGTAGTGGATGAGGTGCTAACGGAGGCACATACAATTCTGGGTTCTCCAAAAATTTCTACAGGAAATGATTACAGCAATAAGACCATTTAAAACAGGAGTGCTCTGCCAGTCAAAAACCCACGGGGGCTCTCCTGCTTTTCTCCATTTTCAGCAGCAACCCAGCTGAGAGCTACTCTCTGCTCTGCAGTAACTCTTTCCCCAAGTGATGACATCCAAGGTCTCTCTCCTGATCTCTCTCACTGTTCACTCACTCCCTCACTAATTCACACAGAACATATTTATTGAGCTCGTGCTATATGCCAGACACAGGGGAGTGCACATCACTTGCTGACCTGTCTTCCGGCACTGCAGTATGATGAACTAGTTGGGTGCTATTTGGCAGGGGAGTTAACTCTCTAGCTTTAGTTAACACTCTGTAAAATGGAGGGGGCAGACCAGATGCATGATCTCTAGTGTCACTTCCAGTTTTAAAATTCTGTGACTGCCATTTATATATGCAGGAAGAAATATATGTCACCTTAATAAAGTGATAAGAAAATTCTACCTCTTTAGAGGAAAGTAAAATGTTCAGAGGCATCTGATTAGTTTTCAACTATGAACCTTTATCTTCACAAATTATAGATATAATATTAGAACAGATTTGCATTCTGCTGCATTAAACAGAAATACAGTATACAGATATACAGGGAACCCTATTGATGAAAACATTTTAAAGCACAGGAGAGACATAGGTGAGATCTTTCTTCATTTCTTTTTTTTTAAGATTTTATTTATTTATTTGAGAGAGAGAATGAGAGAGAGAGAGAGAGAGAGCACATGAGAGGGGGGAGGGTCAGAGGGAGAAGCAGACTCCCTGCTGAGCAGGGAGTCCGATGTGGGACTCGATCCCGGGACTCCAGGATCATGACCTGAGCTGAAGGCAGTCGCTCAATCAACTGAGCCACCCAGGCGCCCGATCTTTCTTCACTTCTATGACTATGACTTCCCTTCTGCACTGTGGGAGCTTAACCCCCTGGATGCCCAGCTGTGGGCTGAGTCCTGATGCTCAGCATCCCCTCCATTGGTAGGAATTGCCACTGGGTTTCCCTACCTGTTAAGCTGAGGGCCCATCACTGACCCTGAACCTCCACTGTATGCCAAAATATATCTTGGGGTGCAGTTTCAAGACTGGCCTCCAAGTTGCCTCATTGGTCCTAATGTCATAGGTTCCAATAATGGGGCTCCTGGTCCCCAGGTTCCTGGGTGTTCCCAGCTGTACCCACGCCTTCCCATTTGATGAATTCTGAGACAGGCATTTTCTTTCCCTAGTAAATACGTGGATTTAGGAACAAACTTACATTCAGATTTTCCTGAGAACTCATTTTATAATAGTGCCCTCTGAACTCTGCTGCAAATTCCAATGAGTCAGTTATAGAGCAATCAACTAGTTCATGTGATTCTGCCAGGCTGATAGGGCAGAACTGTCCAAATTCGCCCAGGCGAGAAATCAGTTCTTGAGGTGTGATACATAACTTGTCTATGCAGGCAGCTTTTCCTATTAGTAACAGATTAACTATTATTATTATATTTTTTCCATAGAAAACAGTGATTTTAGAAATTAAAATGATTTCAATTACACACACATGATACAAATGCATATACATTGTAAAATTCCAAACAACAGAGTAAAAAGTAAAAGTTTCTCTTCACACCTTCATCTTCTCAATTCAACATCCCTCCTAAGAGTAATCACCGTTGATTTGTACCTTTTTCAGACTTTATCCTATACACTTGCATGTACACATTTATTTTTTGCACATAGCATGCTAATGCCACTATGCTGTTAACATTATTCTGCAACTTGCTTTTATCAGTTATTTATGGTCTTTGACATCTTTCCATGTCTGTTTATATGATTTACCTAGTTCTTTTTAACTGATGCATAGTATTCCATTGTATAAATATGCATATAGTTTACTTAGCCATTTATCTGTTGATGAATGTTTTGGTTGTTTTTAATTCTTATCTATTATAAATTATATATCTGTTATAAACCATATATATGTGTCATCACTCTTTATATATATATATATATATATATGCATGTCTGCATAGCCACTTAGACACAGACATATAAATTTGCTACATATTTTTAATTTTTCTATGGGGTAGATTTCAAAAAGTGCGAATAGTTTTTGACATGATGTTACTGTACCCAGATGGCACACAAGAGAAGGGAAGAAATGTTTTTCCAAAAGTGACTAGGTTTACCCCAGAGAGTCTATTTTAAAAAGGAAGAGCCCAAAGTCCTTCAGTGAACAGGTTTGAGAGTTTTCTCCCCAATACTGCACTGGAATGGGGATTGCAAAGAAATAAGACATATTATAGAAAACGAAAAAATTTTTTCATACATCTTAGTTACAATGAGTAAATTTTGACCCTTAATATATTTTGTTAATGGTTCCTTTCATTAGTGAGAAGTTTTGCCTTTTAAAAATTATCATTATGCCTAGGAAGGTCTTAAATTAACTATAAAATTTATGAATCATAAATCATAGTTTGTTATGTGACAAAGTAAACATATAAAATTGATCCTTAGGATTGGGGCAATGGTCTACAAGCCAAAGAATGGAGAGGATTGATGGCAACACTGGAAGCTAAGAGAAAGACATGGAACAGATCCTCCCCTAGAGCCTTCAGAGAGAATATGGCCTTGGTAACACCTTGATTTTGAGCTTCTAACCTCCAGAACTGTGAGAGAATACATTTCTGTTGTTTAAGCCACCCAGTTTGTGGTACTTTCTCACAGCAGGCTTAGGAAACTAAAACAATTATGAAAGACTGTGACTTCTTTTTGGCACTCTTTCTTGCCTTCTCAGCTTGTTCACTTGATAAAACAAAGGTGCCATGTTGGAAAGGACTATAAGGGAAGGAACTGGAAGCGGTCTGTGGCCAACAGCTAGCAAGAAACTGAGACCCTCAATCCAACAACCCTCAAGGAACGAAATCTTGTCAACAATACATGAATGAGTGTGGTAGTAGATTCTTTCCCAGTTGGGCCTTCAGATGAGACAATAATCCTAGACAATACCTTGATTAGGATTGTGAGAGTTCCTAAAGCAGAGAGTCCAGTTAAACTGTGACTGGATTCCTGACCCATAGAAATTGTGTGTTTGTGTGTGTGTGTGTTATTTATGCTGCTAAGTTTTGAAATAATATGTTATGCAGCATAAACTAATATGCTATTCCATCTGTTGTTTATGACACAGATGAAAAAGCTAAGAAGCCCTAATATTCCTTCCCTACAAAGAACATTACACTATAATACTATAGTGCCATAATATTATTCTAAAGTGTTATAATGTACAGTACTATGGTATAATAATATGTCTTATTATTGAAGTATATAGTATTATATAGTGCTATAATATTATACTATATGGTACCCCAGTATTACAATCCTAGCTGCTCTTTAGCTCAGATATGCTGAACCTCACAAATCCTGACAGGTTTAGTGACAGGGTAATTTAGAATCACATGACTCCAAGTCCTAAAAGATACTCAAATATCTCTTCTTCTGTATTCTTGATGACATCTGGCAATGCCCATATATCTTAATCTGAAATGTGGCAGAATGAGGAGGAATCTCTTTAATCTTCTAGCCCTGACCTTGCTCCATCTCATCAGTCAGAGTAAACTTTGGCCTCCTGATAGGAGAGGATCATTGGATAGCATACAAGGAAATGTGGAATGAAAAAAAAAAAAAGTCAAAACTAAATTTAAACAATCAAGTACAGGTTAGATTGTTACGTGGAATTGAAGCAGAAGATCAATAAGGTCAATTTCAATAAGATTAAACTATTCAAGGCAGAGGCAAGTATATATGGAATAATGAAATGGATACCGTGGCACCTCATCCACATTCCTCTTCAGGGCTGATGCAGCCATCCCTCAGATGCTGGGAGTATCAGTGCTGATGGGTCACAGGTGCGCTGGGAATTGCCCATCTGTCACAGGTTAACCCCCTCCCAGAGTGACCTGTGGTCAATGGCAGGCCAATGGAGGGATATAGAGCCTGGCTCCTCCCCTCAATTGGGAAATTCTGAAGGTCCATCCTAGCTCCAGGGCTTCCCTATCAGATCTGCTGAGGCTTTCATTTCTACCACATGGCAGGTCAGTTTCTCCCTCTGTCCAATTCTGTTGTCCTCACTTCCCACAGCTGTATCTCCTGATTAACATACAGGAAGCCCAGTGAGTTTAAATTTCAGATGAACAATGAAGAGTTTTTAGTATAAGTATATCCCATGCAATGTTTGGGACATACTTACACTAAAAACTTGTTATTTATCTGAAATTCAAATTTAACTGGGCATCCTATATTTTTGGTTGCTAAACCTGGCAACTCGAATCCTGAGAATACTTTCCGATAAAGCTTCTGCAGACAAGTTTTAATCTTGTTTAAACTTGAGTCTGTTTCCAGGGAACTGAATCTAAGGTGTAGGGAGGGTGAAATAGGGTAACAGAAAGATGAAAGAGACACAAGTTTTGCTTTCAAAGTCTGCCGTGGAGTCTTTTACAAGTGCGATGCTTTCCAAAACTTATTGCAAGTAGGTTTCTAAAAGCCCAATTCTTTCTTCCCTTGTACTCATCATGCCTTGTAATCCTCAGGTGAAAACAAATTCCCAGTCTGCAGACAAACAGGAACCAGAGATACTGGTTATGCCCAAATAATGAAGCTAATCAAGATTTAATGATGCAGAGTCCTCACTGCCTTGTGTAAGATTCTATTAGTCACATTGTTCTCATACCTCATTATATTTTCTCTGTAGTCCCATAGTTAAACAAAGTCACTAATCAGATGTCTGTGAGACCCCTATAGCTCAATTCTTTAGAGTCATCACTCTTCTTAGAGATATCAGATATAGATCACTTTCCTTCTACTTTATGTATTTTTAGATAAAAGTCAAGAAACTTATAGGAATATATAATCAAACATTTTCTTTCATGGATTCCAAATATATATATTAAAAGACATTTTATGCTCAAGTTTAATTTTTTATAGATTCAGCACTTATGTAATACCATAATGAATATAAATACCAAAAATAACTTTAATTCTAGATTCATAAACAAAATTTTGCCAAGTGTCATCCCATAGACCACTACTCTCATATAACTAGCATTCTTGAAATTTAGCTTCTTACATGGCATTCCAAACACTATAAATTCTTCTAGTGAGAGGCTATGCATTATTTTTATGTGCTAGGTTCACATAGGAATTCAATAAATGAAAGCTTGAGTAGTGGCAGTCATTTATGAGAACAATATACATGCCCACAATAATTGGATAGTACCATATACTTAAAAGACTGATTAAGATTGTGGGAACAAATGTTCAGATTGAATGAATTATGGTAACATGAATCAGGCATATGTAGACTTTCAATTAACATTTTATTCTATTTTAACAATTTAATGTTTTCTTACCTGCTTTTATCCTTTCCAGGTATATCTGCATATATTTATTCACCATTTGAACTTTCTTAATGACTTTATTCCACACCCACCATTTGCTGTGAAATCCATCAATCACATACCAGTTCTGATGCTGTTCTTGATAATATTTCCTAATCTCATCAATATTTTTATGGTATTTTGAGTTTTTGACAGCTGTTATCTGTGTGCTATTGTGCAGTGGATAAGGCAAACTAATAGAGAAACAGAATGAATGGAAAAAGTTGTTAAAAATATACTTTTTTTCCTGGATGATTAAAGTTCATTCCTTTGTCGTAGCTTTCATCACATACATTACCTTTGTTCCTTTTTTTTTTCCAGGAACAATCTTTTGAAAATCTCCTTGGAAGGCACATCCAACTCAAAGATGACCATGGGGATGATTGACCTAGCTTCCAAGAGACTCACTTGATATTTAGTTACAGGGTAGCCATCGATGACAACACTAACAAGGAGAAACATGAAAATAATTCCACATTTCTTTTCTCTCCTATCTTCCTTCCTGTCTTCTAGAACCAGTCTATCTCTTTAGGAATAGCCTCTTGCTCTTTCTTTTGTAACTTGACTTATCTTCTTTGCACTTTGCCCTCTTTTTCTCTATATTTTTAACCTCAGTCAGCCCAAGAGCCAGATGTAGGGCAGCATACAGACAGACACAGCTCTGAATTCATACACTTAGCATCATAGAGCTAGGCTTTGGCCGAACTCAAGAGGTAACACGCATTATACCTTGAACATTGTGTTATTCAACCGGTGCTTTTATTCTAAGCATGAAACAGTGGAAGGAATACAGGCTTCAGAGGCAGACAGACACAGATTTGAGACCTAGCTTGACCTCTCTGAGTCTCAGTTTTCAGTAAAATAGGGGAAATGACACTTAACCCTGAGAGTTGTCTTAAAGACTTAGAGATCCGGTATGTAAAACAACTAGAATAGGTCCTGGCACAATGAATAGTATCTTAGTAAGGGATTAAACAAATATGGGAAAACAATTGTGCTCTAAGCTTGCTTTTATAGTAAAGTTCTATGGGAAGGCTGGGGGGTGGCGGTGGGAGGAGAGATGGGGAGTTGGTGAGAGGAGCCCTGTGATATCTGGGAGAGAATCATTCCATCAGGACCCATCATGCTTCTGAGCAGAAATGACAGAGAATTTACGTTAGTCCCAGTCTGTGATAATGAGAGTATAACTATCAAACTGAGAGGAGGAATAAAGGGTATCCACACATTCTGAGAGGAGTGGCCCCCGAAGTCAGGAAACTCCCTCTGAGGAGGGAGCAAGCAGGGCCTGCTGGCTGATGGTCATCAGGAAGGGCTGGTTTAGAGGAAGTCACAGGATCCCCTTACTCAGTGCTCTCCAGCCAAGTCTCTAGGCACTAGTTCTAAGTTCCATGGCAGAGAGGATTGTAAATTAATGCAGCCAGGCAAACCTAATAGACAATGTTATGGGAGTGCCACGGTTGTGTTTCGGGGTTTTCAAAATAAAGAGTAGCTCAATTTCTTTGCTTGTGAAGGGTCGCTTGAGTGGCCCTCAAGTTTAGAAAAATTCAGGGTGATTGGCCAGTCACTGTCCTGGTATTAAGGTGAAATAAACCCCTTTTGACTCAAGGTTGTCTTCACAGAGACCCCTTGTGTGCAAAGCTGAATGCCAGGGAGGAGGTAACTCAATTTGTGTAAGTCCCAGGGCCTCCTCTGGGGGAAAAATCTGACACCCCAGAATCTGCTCTTCATAACTGAAATTAGGAGAACTGTCCAAAGACTTAAGGACCAGTAGCAGGGGAGGGCTAAAAGCCTCTTAATGTAATACAACCTTGAATAGATCAGTGGGATTCTAGGTCAGTGACCTGGGCTCAAGAGCAGGGCATTAGGTTGCACTGGCTTTTACAACTGGGTATGACCAGTGGCTGCATTGGGTGAGTAATGGTAGGGCAGAGGATTGTGAACTGAAGGGAAAGCTCAAGCATGGGGCCCTCAGGTCCAAATGTAGCACTAAGGGAGGGGCACTGCTACATGTGCAGGGAGCTGGGCCAGTGAGAGACTATCTCCATTAGACCAATACCTTCTAGGGAACAGGGGAGGGCCACTCCTTCATCATTCCATGGAGCAGTGAGAAGGTCTACTAGACGTTGGAAGTCACACTGGCCTCCTTTGTTGGCAGTGTAAGCCCAGAGACTTTTGGACAACCCAGGGGTTGCTGCAGCGAGTGAAGTGGCCGCTTGCTATTCTGCCATATAAGTGTTCAAGCCAAGTTTTAGCCTGACAGAAAATTAACATATATAACCATGAATGTGCCTAAGGTTTGAGAAGTAGATCACACCCTCTACCAGAGCTTTAAACCTTGTTTAATGTAAGTGTTTTAAATTTTGTTGGTAATTCTTAAAAGAATTCTTTAACTCCCTCCCCAGCCCCACACCCACTTACCCTGCAGTATTACATGTGCTTTCCATCAGACAGATTTCTAAGGCTTGAATAGCCAGTTCATCAGGTGCTGTCATTCCTTTATGAAGATGCCAATTTAACATGAGTGCCAGCTCTGTGTCTGGTTGGCTGTTTAATACGTAACGCAAAGCTTCTCCTACTGACAAACGCTTTAAGCCATATTCACTTGAAATTTTTTGGGCAACTGAAAAACATTAAAACTTTAAACTTATTCCATTTCACAAATTCATTAGTTAACCTATTTCTAATTTCTGGCTAATTGACATCCACAGTGAGCTAATCTTCACATTCCCCAAAGAAATTTTGAAAGTTAAAATTGTTACATTTTATTGAATTACTACTGTCAAAGGTCAATAATTATTAATACTTCAAGTATGTGGCTGATGGATCTGGTTAATGAGCCAACTCTGTGGGTTCTTCTCATAACCAAACTAATATTTAAGTGTTTTCTTCCTTCTGCATGAGATAACAAAAATTTTGAGAACTTTACATGGCATCCTATGTGTACTATTAATATTTGGCATTATGTCCAAAATAATAATCTAATGCTCCTGTGTCACTGGACTGGACTGTTTCCTTGTCTATCCATTTATGGACTCCATGCTGCAGTCAGAATAGCATACCCCTAAACAGTTAGATCTCAGCTAATCCTATATGAAATAATTTTTTGAAAGATTCTTAAAATAGATTTTTATTTATTTGTCAGAGAGAGAGAGAGAGCACAAGCAGGGGGAGCGGCAGGCAGAGCAGGCAGAGGGAGAAGCAGGCTCCCCGCTGAGCAGGGAGCCCAGTGCGGGGCTCGATCCCAGGACCCTGGGACCATGACCTGAGCCCAAGGTAGATGCTTAACTGCCTGAGCCACCCAGGTGCCCCCTATATGAAATAATTTAAAAAAATTATAATGGTCTACCTGACATTTTATTTTTTTAATCTTTAAAAAATGTTTTATTTATTTATTTATTTGAATGAGAGAGAGAGAATATGCACAAGCAAGGGGAGGGGCAGAGGGGAGGGAAAGGGAAAGAGAGAATCTCTCCAGCAGACTCCTCACTGAGCACAGAGCCCAAAGTGGGGCTCAATCTCATGACCTGAGCCAAAATCAAGAGTTGGACGTTTAACTGACTGAGCCACCCAGGCGCCTCATACCTGATATCTTAATAGTAATTTACAGCTCATGAGGCAATTTTTCTTCTGTGACTTTATTTGGTATTTTCAACCATTCCATCAGATGGGTAGAATGGATACTGAAATTCCTTTTTTTTTTTTTTTAAAGATTATTTATTTATTTGAGAGAGAGAGAGCCAGAGAGAGA